GTAGAAGTCAAACTTCAAAATAGAATCAAATCCTTATCTCCAATTTTGAATTTGGAATAAAAAATCCCTTCCCCTTATCCACAAGGTGGCCGGCCACACTCTAGGGTTTTATCCATGTGTGTGGCGCCTATATCAGATAGGGAAGGAAGAGATTTTATCCTTTATCCAGTAGTCCAATTTTAATTTAGATTCAAATTCGAATTTAAGTCAAACTTAAATTAATTTGAATTCTAAATTGACCAACTTTATCAAATAAGTTTAAATGGATAAATCTAGATGTGTTCAAATTCAAATTTAAATAATCACATTATTTAAATAATAATCAATTCTCAATTAATTATTTTCGAGTATTTAATTTATAGAATTCCTTAATTCTAAAATTTCCCATTTTACCCTCTGTGTCTGGTAGAATTACTAGGACGACGCGGGGACTAATGGACCTATAATCCCGAGCTCCAATAAAATTAATAATCAATTAAACACTTTAATTAATTAATTAATTCTATTAATTCCAATAGTTACTCCACTATAAACTTGGGATTCATAAAACACATTCATGAACCAGAGCGCTCTAACTAATCCAAGTACCGAATCAACACTCAAGAGAATTATTTATCTGCTTCTTTCTCAAGAAGGAATGGATTCCATCTCGTATAATAACATTCACAGCTACCTATTTCATTATGTCTTCAAAATACAAGGAATAGGATTCAGGGTTTCGGAATCCGTACCGAGTAAATCAAAAGACATAAATCCATAAATAGGAGCTTGTTAAGAACTCAGGATTAAGATCATCCTATATATGACCATCGGTAGACTCAATTAGAATTTCTATGCTTAACGGAAATTATTAGAAATTCATATTGTGTCTGCGTCCATGTTCCACATAATCTCATTATGCGAAATACACTCATTCAATATCTCACCATATTAACAGTGCGAATAACACCGTTCCATTCTAAATGGGAATGACATGTATTAATAATGTTTTATTTAAAGATTCTGAACTTAATTAAATTCATTATGAACAATTACTTTTTATTATTATCCTTAAACATTATCCTCTCGTATACAACACTTATATACCATGTTTAATGTTACATAAATAATCAAGGAATTTTATTTGACATTCATAAAATATTCATAAATATATGCACATAAAATGATGAATAAACTCTTTTATTAAATAAATAATAAATATCCTTTTACATCTCATACTTCTAGGACACTATTCCCAACATGATCCTGCATTGTATGAAAAAAAAACTAGTAGGGACAATATTTGTTGGAAGTTAGAATTTTATTTGATTTGACCCCATATTCTTTGTTCATTATCACTTGCATTAATGAAGCGAAAAATGAACCAATCAATTTAAATTCAACTTTAAGAATCTGTTCAAAAGAAGCATCCTAACTAAATTATACACATTAACAAATGAAAGAAACAATATCCAGGTGTATTAAGATTAATCAAATGCTCATCAAGTGATAGGCCCCATCTTTATAAAGAGTTTTCTTAGCACAAATTCAACTAGGAAGTGGAAAACATCACAAATAGGTATATTGCAAATGTGACAATACATATACATTGTCTAATAATCACTATTTATGTGTGTATATATAGTTGTACTAGCACATCAGTGCAAATGTTAGATCGAATTATTTGGTTGCTAGATTCATGTCATGATTCGAATCATGGTTCGTAATTCGTTATAGTATTTTCTCTCACAAAAAACACACGTAAATCAAAAATGATTCTGAATCCAACAACCAAACGTCTACTTCAATACTATCCTATCAAAGATCTCTTATACTATCGTACTATAGTACTGCATTTCCATGTTTCACGAGAGAGAAATTTCTGAAAGCATATGGTCCATATATGCAAGCAAATACTAGCTAGTGGACCTCATAGATATTTTACTTGGCATTAAAAAAAAATAGTTATCAAACACAATTTTTTACGACTGAAGTTTAAACCGTTAAATTTATATACTATTGCCTCGTTCACTTTGCAGATTCGAGTTTTCAATTTGAGCTGAGATGTAATATTTTCTGAGAGTTTTTCATTGTAACAGAAAAAGTTAGATGTGACATTTTCTGAAAGCTTTTTATTGTAGAAACTTAAAATTAAAAACTCGAATCGGTGAAATGAACGTGACCTATATAATTTTGATAAGCTCAAAAATTTTGTATAGATATATTCCAAAAATACAAACACTAATCCCCACACAACCTTGTATTACATGAAATAAAGCTTCAATTGACAATCAAATCCATCAATAAAATTGAATAAAACGTTCAATGAGAAATAGTAAGCATTGGGCTCCACAAGCGTAAAACACTCAAAGAGGTGCCCCGAATGTTGAGCACATGCGACTCTTTAACAAATCCTTTACACCATAAAAAAACGTACAAAACAAATTATGCGGTCGAAAAACACAATCAAACACTAAACAAATAAGACATAGACACAAAAAAATCAGAAAAAGAATCCTGAGTTATTTTAAACGAAAGATAAAGATAAAACACAAGCCAGAACATTAAAACACTTAGAGTTCGTTTATTTGATGTGTTTAAATTCATGATTTAGGGTCCGTTTAGTTCGCTGATTCGAGTTTTTAATTTGAGTTGAGATGTGATTTTATGTGAGAACTTTTTACTGTAGCAAAAAAGTTAAATGTGACTGTTTCTGAGAACTTTTTACTGTAACAAAACTCAAATTCTAAACTCAAATCAGTGAAGTGAACGGGACCTAATTCTTTTACAGTATTTTTTTATCATACAAAATTTAAATTTTAAATACTAAAATTAATAATTACTTATTTAAATGCATAAATCAAACAGATCATCAGGAAAATAAGGCCATTCGACGCCAAGAAAATAGCAAAAAAAGGCTAGAGGTTGGCAAACACGCTTTGTCGCCGTCGGTGAAGGTTGAAGCACGCACCCACCGGACAATTCCCAGCCTCTCGCAGACTCCAGAGGGTATAGATTGAGATGAAGATCGATGTGGCTGAAAACTCCTTTGCACCCCATAAAAAAAATTCACAAATCGCACCTATCTAGCAAAAATTAAAGACGATTGTTTTTCATAAAAAAAAAGATGTTTATACAAATTTGTTGATAAGGTATTAAAAAATACCATAGTATTGCATTGTTCTAAATTATTAGATCTTCTTTAAAAAAAAACTATTAGATCTTAATTAAGTTCTATTAAATTCACAAAAATCTATTTAAGTTCTCATACTTTTTACTCGGACATAATTCTAATAACACAAGCAAATAGCAAAATATTATAGTGTGTTTGATTGATGTATTTGTGTCATGATCTGAATCATAATTCATAATTTTTTAAAGTAATTTTTTTAAAAAAAAATACATGTAAATTAAAAATAATTTTAAATTATAATTATAAATACATGAATCAAGCGCCCACTTAATTCTTCAGAGAAAAACATTAATACAATGGGCCCGTTTGTTTTCATTTTTGAAAACGTTTTTCACGTTTTCTGAGAAGAAAAAATTGAAATGAGAAATGAGAATACCGCCGCCGCCACCCCACTCTTCTCCGACTGCCCTCTTCTCTCTCTTCTCCGACTGGCCACCCCCACCCACTCTTCTCAGGCTAGCCACCCCCACCCACTCTTCTCCGACTGCCCAATTCAGCAAGAAGAGCTCAGAGACGAATTTTTCAAGTAAAACCCAGATATAAACAAAACCATGAAAAAATAAAACAAAAGAAAATAAAAGAAAAGTTGATCAAGAGACTTACAAATCATCCACGAACTTGGCGGAGACCATGACGCTGACGACGAGCAAGCGGTGGACGTTGAAGGAGTTGATGGGCAACAATGGCTGGCATTGGGTGAATCGGTCGAGATCTTCTGCGGCTCGAATCGCAGGTTCACGTCATTGGACTCTGCCACTCGCTGCAGAAGAGACGACATGAACCCTATCACTCTCGACATTGCCGCCGCCAAAGACACTGGGCTCTCTAGTTCCGCCATTGGAATGCAAAGATCGAAGCTTCTATTTTTTTTTTTTTTTTGTTGCTCTATTTGGTTGTTTGTTTGTTTCTCGTTTCTTATAGGACTCTTGAGAAGTTTGTATTTTAATATATTTTAATTTTAAATATTATTATAGATTTTTAAAATTAAACCACTAAATATAATTTTAATTTTTTTTAAACTGAAATCGAAATAAAATTATTAAACGCATTTTTAAAAATAATTTTAAAATAAAAATAAAAATAATTTTAAAATAAAAATAAAAATATTTTTATTTTTATTTTCATACAAAAAAAATAAAATATTTTGAAATTAATTTCAAACGTTATTTGTTGTATTATGCAACATTATAAAAAAATAATAAGATCGAAAATAGGCTAATAATAAAAGTTGCGTGTTGAAAAGCTCATGAAAAATGCCATCACCACCAACTTGACTTTCTCTGTCTCGCTTTTTGCTGAACAAAAGGCTATCTATATTTTGCTAAGAAATAAATAAATGAATAAATAATAAATAATAATAATAATAATAATAATAATATCTAAACTAAAACAATTATAAAACACGTATAACTTTTAGGATTTTTGTGGAGGAATTAAGCCCCTTCTCCTCCATCAACGCGTAAAGATTTGTCAAAGCAAAATAGAACCTTCTTACCTCACTTTCTCGTCGGTTTTTTTTTTAACTCAAAAATTATTATTTTCTTTCATTTATGGTAAAAAGAAAATGAAGAAAGAAAGAAAATTTTTAAAATGTATTTAGAGTAAAAATTTATATATGATTTAAATTATAATTTATAATTTATTATAATAGTTTTTTATAAAAAAATATACATAAATTAAAATTAATTTTAAATTATGATTCAATCTAGTCTTTTTTTTTTTTTTTTGGTGAGCTTTAAATGCGAGTTGGTTGATTTCTTTTCTCCTTAGCGAGTAAGCGACTATCAAAAAGCAGACCTATATTTACGCCTATATGTACACAACTATATATCCGTGTATCTCTATATATAACATCTTTAAATCTGGCGAGTTAAGAAGAATCAACGACACCTATCTATACAACATTCAATCTTCTGTTAAGAAAAAATGGATCTTATTGCGCATCCGTCTGGGTTTTCTCCTTCTTCTTCTTCTTTTTCTTCTTTTTCGTTTGGGAATTTCGTCGAAAAGGTTAAGGAATTCTTCAACTTCGCCGTCTCTGCGATAATTGGCAACATCTTCTCTGCGATCTTCACCTTCTTCTTTGCTTTAGGTTTGTATTTTTCTCATTTCAGGGTTTTATTTTGTTTATGTCACTCATCAATTTTTGAATGATTTTTGTTTGTCTTGATCTGTTTCGAAATTGGGGTTCTGGGTGTTGTTTTGAAATTTTTTTCTTACCATGAGAAATTTGCGTTTCTTTTTAACTTTATTCTTCTTGGAATTGAATTAGATTGAAACCCTAATATTAAAAATCAAAACGTTATCAAGCCATTCTTTTGTGGAATTCAGATTTTTTTATCAAAGTTATAAAAGGATCAACATTTAGAGAAAAGGGGCTTCTCAAAGAAAAAAAAAAGAACATTTAGAGAAAAAGGGGATTTTTGGTTTTTCTCCTTTGCCATTAGAAATAAATAATTTTTTGTGGCAGAATTGAGTTGTGTGAAGAAAAATGGTATGTGGGTATGCCATTTTTTCATTGAATTCAGATTGTTGATCAAAGTAAAAAATAAAAATAAATAAAAGGAGCCACCATTTTGACAAAAAGGGTTTTTTGCTTATTGTCTCTTGCCATTAAAAATCAAGACTTTTTCAAGGCAGAATTGAGTTTTCGGGGGAAAAATAGCATGTGGGTATGTCAGGGATTTCTTGAATTCAGATTGTTGATCAAATTGGAAAAGAATCCACATTTAGACAAAAGGGTTCTATTTTCCATTGCCATCTTAATGAAGCATCTAAAAAACAAAATTTGGGACTTCGATTGTGCTAAGAGCTGTTTTGTTTCATCAAGTCAAGTGACTTTTTGAGCTCAAAATTGTCTCTTGCTATTAAAAAACAACAACTTTTTTTATTTTTCATTTTTTATGGCAGAATGGAATTTTGCGAGGAAAAATAGCTTGTGGGTATTTCATTTATTTGTCGAATTCAGATTGTTGATCAAAGTGCAAAAGTGTCCACATTAGACAACAGAGTTCTTTGTTTTTATCCCTTACCATCTTAATCAAGCGTGTTAAAAAGAGAATTTGAGATTTTAATGGTGCAAAGAGCTGTTTGGTTTCATTAAGATTGTGACTTAATTTGAGATTTTGATGATGCAAAGAGCTGTTCTGTTTCATAAGATTGTGACTAGTAGAAATGACCTTTTTTTTTTTGTCTTTTAAATATGCAGTTGGCACCTTATTAGGAGCCATGACTGGGGCTTTGATCGGCCAAGAGACAGAGAGTGGATTTGTTAGAGGTGCCGCCGTTGGTGCAATATCTGGAGCTGTTTTCTCTATTGAAGTGTTTGAATCTTCTCTTGTTTTGTGGCAATCAGATGAATCTGGAATTGGGTGTCTCTTGTACTTGGTGAGCAATTAATTAAGCTTTGTATCAATCCCTCATTTGTGACATATATATTTTCCTCTTTTCTTAGCTTATAATTGGTGATTTAAAGAACTTTCATCTTCAAGTTTGATACTTGATATTTGCAAGTAAATGTTTTTCTCTGAACCCATTTCAATGTTTTCACAGATTGATGTCATTGCAAGCCTTCTAAGTGGGAGACTAGTTCGCGAGCGGATTGGCCCGGCCATGTTAAGTGCAGTTCAAAGCCAGGTAAATTTTAATTCGTCATGGAAGTTTTTAATACTAGTTGTTGATATTCCAGACAGCAATAGCACCAATACTCATTTTACTAACTGTTTGTTGAATATTATCAATGTGAATGAAAAACTAGATGGGCGCTGTTGAAACCGGCTTCGATGAGGTCACCAACATCTTTGACACTGGCGGGTCCAAAGGGTTGCCGGGGGATTCAGTTGAGAAGATTCCAAAGATCATAATTACCAACAACAACAATACGGACGCCTCCGGGGAGAAAGTTTCCTGCTCGGTTTGCCTTCAGGTTCGACAAAAGTTTTTGATCTTTTTTCTCAGTTAAATTCTGGTTCCTCAAACGAACAATGATAGACACCATAAAAAAAAAATATATATATATATATATATATCGTGGACACTACAATGCATATGTTTCAAAGCTCCATAAGTTTGATAAAACTGAAACTACTTTTTTGTCGTAGTGTTTTTTTTTAACCTTTAACGAGTTTATATTATAGTTTCTAATCTTCTTTTTAAAATCTGATTATGCAGGACTTTCAGCTTGGAGAGACTGTTAGAAGCTTGCCTCATTGCAATCACATGTTTCACCTTCCATGCATAGATAAGTGGCTCCTTAGGCACGGTTCTTGCCCTTTGTGCAGAAGGGATTTGTGATTTCACTTGTGTAAATTACAAAATCAAAAAAAAAAAAAAAAAAAAAAAAAATTTTTTTTTTTTTTTTTTTTTTTATTTTTCTTGTACAAAAATCTTAGGGCTTTTGTACTCTTTTTCTTGATTTCAATGGTTGGTACGTCGCTGCCCCCAACTAGTCCCCTGCCTCATGTTTCGTCATGAGTTGATGTATACAAATTTTGAGTTATGATGATAGTTTTGATTGATTTTGTGGATATAACAACCTATCTTGTGTAATTATTTTAAAAAAAAGAGAGAAAAGAGAGAGCTATCTTGTGTTCTCATTTCTCTGGTTGGTTAAAGGAAGGTCTCAAGCTGTCTACTAAACAACTGGTTTTATTTGAATGAAAGCAAACAAAGTGTCGTTCGTTTGTGGCTTTGAGCAAAAAGTTTTCTTTCGTTAAAAAAATAAATTAAATTTTTTTTCAAACACACGAGACAAAATATTCCATAGAATTCCTATTTAACTTTTTTTTTTAATTGTGTTTTACCTTTTTGTTCTTTCTTTTGATTTGAAGAATATGAAACCAACACATTCTTGTTTGTATTCAGAATCTTTAGGAGTAGATGGCCATAATTTTTTTCAGGAGGATTAGTACACCCTAGTGATAATATGCAATTTCGAACCATTAGATCAAATTAAAGTAATATTAGAATGAAAAAAAAAAAGTGTATACGGATTTACCTAACTTATCGATATAATAATACCACACTAGAAAACTTTCTAATTTTGTATAAAATAAATACAAGGGTACGTATAAAATATTGTCATAAATACAAGGGGACGTAAGGCCATACCTTACAAACCACAATGATGAAACGAATGATGATAACTTAGAAGTCATGCAAAGACCCCATATTTGTTGGGTCCAGAATTCAGATATTTTTGGTACACATAACTCTCTCCATTGAGCAATGACAGTGGTTAGGTAAGAAGATTTTGCTCACGTTTCCGTGAGTTCAATAATCTATCTGAAATTCAAAAAAAAAAAAAAAAAATCTCTGACATGTTTGGTAACAAAATAATGTTCTCTTGTTGCAAATACAGTTTTGAGATTTTTTTACTGTAAAGATCCGTGTGAGGTTCTATTAATTTTAATTTTTACGTATTTTTTATTTTGATGTGATTTTGATTAAATTTAACGTTTAAAATATATTTTGGTGTGATTTTAATTAAATTTAACGTTTTAAAAAATGCACTACGTTAGAAAGCTCCACGTTGTTCATGTACTTATAATTGAGTAGTAATGTGTATGGAATTTCTTTATCAAGATTATACAAAATTATTACCATGTTCTCCATTTTTTTTCATGGGACTTTCAGAAAAACAGATTAACAGAATTATTGTTATGTTCCACATTATTCAACGTGACCTTCGGAAGAACATAATTATTATTTTCTACATTATTCACTCCAAATAAGTTATTATTTTCTACATTATTCACTCCAAATAAGTTGACTTTTAAGCATTGTTTTTCTTTATTATTTCTTGTAATTGAGTGGCAAAATGCAACTAACTAGTTGCAATTTTTCTCATCTCATTTTCATTTTTCTAAATATATATATATATATATATATATATTCTGGTGGAAATTATTCGGCACACTCTTTGTCAAACTTCAAAGTACAATTTTTTATTGTTTTTTTTTTTTCTTTTGTTGAAATCGTGTTCCTTTTCTGTTTCTTTCTGAAATGCCAAAAGGTCATCTTTTGAGCTAATCCGAAATCGACTACCTAATAACCTCCTCTTGAAAACATATGCACAAACGTCAATATTTTAGTATTCAATGTTAAAGTGTATTCTTTTGTATCACGTATCATTTTAGACAAAGTCATTAAAGTCTTTTAGTAGGACTGGTTCTACGTATATATTTGATAGAAATAAAATACTGTTTAGTTCGCTGATTTAAATTTTTAATTTGAGTTGAGATATGACTTTATTTGAGAGCTTTTTATTGTAATAAAAAAGTTAAATGTGACTGTTTGTGAGAACTTTATACTGTAGCAAAATTCAAATTCTAAACTCGAATCAGCGAAATGAACGGTGTCAATATGTCAATAATTTCAAAAACATCCTAAAAAAATAAAAAATAAAAACATGTAAAATTACATAATAAATATTTAATTATACTTTAATTGATTCTACAAATATACCCAATTGAAATTAAAATAGAACATATTTTTTATTTTACATAATACTAATTTCGAGGACATGTAAATAAATTACTAATATATAAATATATCACTATAATTTAATTGGTTCTACATATAAGTTGTTTTTATTCTATATAACAATAACTTCAAAAATATGTAAAATTACATAACAGATATTTTATGATTCTTTAAATATTACATGTTATGTATTTATATATATATTCCCCAATTGCAATGCTTTCTGTGTAGGTACGGTAACGGTTTGGGTCATGCTCATTGCAGAATCACAACTCGACCTTATTATGCATTTACACATTAATAACATGTCCGTGTACTAAGCTTACTCCAACCACAAATATGCTTTATTTATTTAATTAATTTTTGAAAGAAAAAAAGATGTTAAATAATCATGTGAAACCTCTCACATGATTCTATGCCTTGTTTATATGTAAATGTCAATTAAGCTTTAGGGCAAATCAAGATCAGCCAATAGCCATATAGAAGGTCAAACTTCATGTCGTTTTCCAAACACCCTTTTGTGAGTATGTAAAGAACCAACTAAGTAAGAAATGGTTTTTATTTATTTATTTATTTATTTTTAAAGATTCTTTAGTACGTGATAAGTCAGATTTTCTAATGGTTAAATTTACATATTTTTTTACTTTTTACGTAATTTTATACAAATTTAATAGATTATTTTTCGATTTTATTAGATCGACGAATCTTGCGTACTTGGCCTACTGAATCGGACAAAATTTTTTTTTTTTTTTTGAAAGTGAGAATATATATAGGTTCCGTTCATTTCACCGATTTGAATTTAAAATTCAAGTTTTATTTCAGTAAAAATGTCTTAAAAATAATCACATTTAACTTTTTTACTACAATAAAAAGCTCTCATATAAAATCACATATCAACTTGAATTAAAAAACTCGAATAAGCGAATTAAAAGTAATCAGCGAATTAAAAGTTGTACTTAGTTGTGCCACATGTCACGTGACTATCTTGGGGGCTTGGCTTAAAGATATTGGACCTCATGTGCCTCGTATATTCACCATAACTATAAATTTGATTTGATTGGACCGAATTGATTAGCCGAAAGGAAAAGAAAAAAAATTGGTGAATTGTTTGTAGAAACCAGCTAGCATTATATGAGCCAATTATAATTAATGCTAAAATTTCTTGTTGCAAAAAAATAAAGTTTTTGTCCTTTTACGTATGGTTTTGGTGAGCACAATATTAATGGAGTCCAGATATGCATACATTAATTTCGTATTTCTTCTACGAAAATAAAAATTGCATAGTCCAATGAAACTTTATCGAACTCTTCTAGAAAGAAAAGAGGAGCATACAAAACTATGCCCAGTACATCCAAAACCATGGATTTTTAATTTGAGTGAAAAATACGCTTTAATTTTTAAACACTACTTTGTGACACTAATCATCAAGTCAATGCACAAAACAACGACCATAGAAGACATAATGTAGCGTCATTGGACACTAAAATTAATCACAAAAATTAACGTACTAAAATGTGATTCTTATCCATCACGTACGGCTACTAGTCTAACTAATCATATTCCATTAAATTCTTAAATTAATGCATAACATATTTTATAAAAATTTTAATTAGAAAGATGCACGCAAACACCCCTTTTGGACAAGTTTTGGCCTGAATTAGCAATATTATTAGCATACTCTTTCCTTCCTTTTTTTTAAAAAAAAATAGGGAATTAATTTAGTCACATCATGAATACTACTCTTATTACTATTTTTTTCGGTAGGTCATCAGTCATATTATTTTATACCTAGGCCTCATGTTAAGTTACCCCTTAAAAATATTCTCTAAAATCAAATGCCACACAATTTGACTAAATCTTATGTCTTGCAATTAAGTGTCACTTTTTTGAGCTAAAAAACCATGAAGGTTTCGTACCCCTTCTTGGTTGGGAAAAATGGACACTTATTTAAATGCATAGACAGCTTTAATGAATAACTAGTAGTTAATTTGAACGTTTTTATTTGTCCTATATGCCGTCTTAGGATTAGACCAAGTCTTTATTAGTATAATATTGGAGATTCTCTTTCAAAGCATATAAAGACTTAGTTATACAATATGTATCACAAATATAAGCAGCCGGCAATGTAACAAATTTTTTGTGAGCCAATATCTACATTTTTGTCACTCTTATTCTTTTCTCACCCTATCTTCCAATCCACACAAAAAAAAAAAAAAAAAAAACCCATTTATCTTCTCAATTAAACGGTTTAGTACCAAGGAGGAAAATCTATGAAACTATGCCTAGTGCAAAATGGAACTGGGTTAGATCAATTACTTAGTACATAATTAACATTACTTAGGAGAAAATGGCAAATGGGCATGATCGTTCTCATGGTAAGAGCCACTTATGGGGAGGAATTGTCATTGGCATTTTGACAGTTTTTTTGGTTGCCACATTTTACTATCTTTTCAAGAGGAAGATCCTCCCAGCTCTAAGAAGGAAAACCCAATTGCCTTTGATGAAGAAAAAAGGTCAGTGACACATATATATAATATAATTCACAAATATATATATATATACATGTATACATATATTATATATTGTATATGTCATGACAATAGTATCATTGTATAATGACAATATTAGGAACATTGAAAGATGAGAAGAACATGTTGAGGGGGTTTCAGTTAGAGGAAGTAGTGAGAGCAACAAAGAACTTTAGCCAAGAATGCTTTTTGGGTTCTGGTGCTTTTGGGAATGTCTATAAAGGGACCTTTGATGTTGAAGGAACTTTGGCTATTAAGAGACCCCACAACGAGTCATACCAGAGTGCTCAAGAATTCATGAATGGTAATTAAGCCCTACTTGATCTTTCACCTTTATCATTAACTTTTCTTTAAAATGGGTAGACAAAAAAATCCTACTAGTATTGCGTAGTTATAAACAGCTGGATCATATTTGATGCGGATGTGATGGTTCAGAACTGTACAATTTTAATTTTTCTTTTTTTTTACCCCACCAAAGAATTGTCTTTTTTTTTTCCTCTTAATTTTTATATGGTTTATCATGGGGTTTGTTGTCCCCCTTGAACAGAAGTGAGGCTACTTTCAAGAGTAAAACACAGGAACCTTGTTAGTTTGGTTGGATTTTGTGAAGAACCTGGTATGTAACACATTACCAATACTATCATACTTGAAAAAAAGATTCTAAAGATCATCAGGAAATGATATTCTTACTAGAAATTGTGTATCATGTAGTTTCAGAAGCTGTATTTAATTTGTATGAATGCGTGCCTTAATTCCTTTGAATTTTGATGCTTTTTACAGGGGCAAAAGGGTCAAAAATGTTGGTTTATGAATATGTTCCAAATGGTTCTCTGCTGGAGTACATTACAGGTACTTAATACTTTTCATGAGTGAATTTGCTTATTATCCATTACACACACAAAAAATAATAATAATGATGATGATAATAATAATAATAATAATAATAAGTTTTGACCTATTGTGTTAACCTTCTTAATTAGTCGTGTTTTTGCTTGGTTGATCTTAGCTTCTTGTCTCAATTATCCTGTAGGAAAAAGAGGGAGGAGCTTAAATTGGAAGCAAAGAGCAAACATAGCCATTGGAGCAGCAAAAGGTATAGTGATTAATATACAAAGAAAAAAGAAAAGAGAGAAAGTAGTATTGATATTGCGAGTTTTTTTAACTATTACATTGTGCCATTTCGATTAGTTTTTTTACGCACATAAAGAAGACATTTTTGATATAATTTGACTGTTTAAATAGATTTTTTTTTTTTCATTTCTTACATTGCTTCCTTTTTTTTCTCTCCTCAAAAATAAGTATTTTGGTTCAAAACTATGCAGGAATTGCACACTTGCATGAAGGGATCAAGCCAAGCATAATCCACCGAGATATAAAGCCAAGCAACATCTTAGTAGGTGATGGGTTTGAAGCCAAGGTGTCTGATTTTGGATTGGTCAAATGTGGGCCCACTGGGGACCAATCACACGTCAGCAGCCAAGTCAAAGGAACTCCTGGATACCTTGACCCTGACTATTGTTCAAGCTTCCACTTGACCCCATTCAGTGATGTCTATAGCTTTGGTGTTATACTTTTGCAGCTTATCTCTGCCAGGCCTGCCATTGAAATAGCTAAAATCAATTCCAATTATCATATTATTGAATGGGTAAGCAAGCAATGTGACATTTCTCTCTACTACAACTTTCTTTGCATTAAATAAAAAAAAAAAACTTCAAATTTTGTAAAGTATGAGGAACTTTTGTGCATATTATAATTAAATATGCATATTTAACGGTCCAAAATACGTATCACAATAGGGATCAAAAGTCATGATAATTCTTTGGTAAGATATGAATTGTGTTGCATTACATCGTCAAATCTTCACTAAGCTTTCTTAGTTTTGTATACATTCTAATTTTGATATGATTTTAATGTAATATAACGGTAAAAAAAATATGCAATATGCGGCCCCTATCATAGGTGGACCTTTTCGATTTTTTAAAGAGAGAAATGATGACATGGGATCATTTCTTTTGAACAAAATGCAGGCAAGGCCTAGCTTAGAGAAAGGAAAAGTGGAGGACATTTTGGATGTGAATCTTCTTTCAGAGCCATGCAACATGAATATGATGCTAAAGATGGGACAACTTGGCCTTAGATGTGTGGTGAACACACCAAAGCAGCGCCCCACAATGACCCAAGTTTGGCAAGAACTCCAAGAAGCCCTCTATTTAGCAGATAACTTCATCAACAAGCAACCCTCTTGGGATTCTCATAAATCAATGGATTATGAGTACTCTCAGAGCAGCTTTGTGAGCATAAATGGGATTGGATTTCAGAGGTTTCATGTGGAGATGGAGAGCCACTCCTTTCAGAGCACAGTCTTGAGGTGTTTAGAGAATAATAGTATTAATTATGTGGATATTGAGAAAAGCAGTTCGAAGGGTATACATGAGGAAAAGAGTACAAAAAATGTTTGCTGATCTCACTATGAATCTCTACTGGGATCTATATTTTCCTTCTTTCTTCATTTTAGCCATTTTTCCTTGGTTTATTATTCTATGGTGAAAAAAGTGCTTGGCTGATTGTGGGCACTTTGTGAAATTGTCAGGATAAGATATTTACTCAATCATAGTGGACATATAGTGTGTATCAAGGCCTTATGCTTTTAATTGGAAGATAATAGCAGCAAATCCATAGACTGTTTATATACGCAGAGAGAGCAATTCTATTTGTCTGGATAGGGGATAAATCTCCATCAGACATAAGTGGTGGGCCTCTTAGATGGGACCCACTTCTTTTTTCTGTCTGGTGAGGAATGAGATAAAAACTGTTTTTCATATATATGGGTCTCTTGCTTTTAATTTTGTAACCCATCAGATATGAATGTAGTTGAAAAGTAATCTGATGAATAAATAAATAAATAGTAACAGTGCAAATCCACTAAAAGTGGTAGGCCACTGTATATATGTATTCACATTATGATGAATCGGAAGA